GAACAGGGAATCGAACCCAGGTCTCTGGAGTCTCAGTCATTAATTTACCCACTGCCCCACACGGGATATCACATATATGTACCTATACCCCATCCCCAAATAAGAGAACCACGATATGATAAGCATCAGAGGCAAACCAAGTATCTTATCCATATTAAAAATCCTCTTAAGGTATTTCTTAAAATTGAAAAAAAAAGTGTTGAGATGAAAGTATAATTAAGTCTCAGAAACTCCCTGCTAGTGGAGACTGGGCCATAGCCTAGCAACCTTTTATTTTTGGACTACAACCCCTATTATCTCGTCAGCATGTGCTTGAACTGACAGGGCACGGTTTTCTCCCCGCTTCTCACAGGCCTTCAAACATCTGATCTGCCGCTAAGGGTTGAAAGCAAGCGGTTGCTTCTGCTTATGGACATGTTTTTAAATGTACTGTTCATCGGTTCTTCTGCTTTGCCTTTGCAAAAAATGTGGATTATGGTTAATACTCTTTTAACAGAGAACGCTAGCTCCAGTAACTTCATCTTCAGAAATATTTGTTTCTAGTATTTCACTTTTAATGTTTTCAGACTGTGGATAAGTGGATACTGGTCCCGCGGATAAGGAGCCCTACTATATTTGCAAACCACCCTGTTCCGCACGTGTTTTTTGCATTCTGCGTTAGATGAAGATGGTAGCTGCTTCTGAAAACATGCATTGCATTTAAAGCCACCCAGCCTTTCTCAAAGGCAGTAGCTGTTGTTTTCCACTCTGTTGACTCCACTTAATTAATCTGCAACTACACATTTGGTATTTTCCCGGTTCTTTAATTCAATATAACAGCAGGAAAGAATGCCTAGAGTGGTTATCATCTGTTGTATCATTTTTATCTTGGCATTATTACTTACCTTTATGTCATAGCCTTGTAGATCTCTTTAGAGCAAAAGGCAGGGTACTAATATTTTAATATGACTGCAAAGAAAAGGAAGCTACTCAGCCAAAGCTGTATCACATAGCTGTTCCTGTTTTGTGCTTTGAATTCCTTTACGTGGAAGTGCATTGTGTACCAAGAGCATAAGGTGGCACATATTTTCAGCTCTGGGACTTTTAGCCCAAACATGCATTTAGAAAAACACTTCAAAATAATACTGAGAATTTCAACTGAACAACACATCTATCTTATAGTAGTCCTATTTCTAATAGGCCCAGTGAAAACAGTGCAGCTTAATGGCTTATTGATTTCAACCATAAGCATGATTAAATCTGGGTCCAATCAAATGCTAGATTTAAAAAACGTTAGCATTCTTGTTTTGGTGGGATTAAAAAATGCAGACAAAAAGGCAGTTGAGGCCAGCGTGAGACACATTTTCTAAGTTAGGGTGTTCTGTTCAGCTCTGAGGCTATCAAGCAGGACAGGACGTCCTAGAATGATTTTTGGTGTTGAGTAACTTATGGTGGCAGGATTATTTTTATATTCATGCTGAGGACAGAGGGCTATTTAAAAGCACAGAGAATCTGTTCTTGACGCTGAGATGGCTGAGTTCTGCTACTCAGTCAGACTGTTGTTATCTATGGTTTATGCATCTTCTTGTTTCAGAGATCATCCCAATCAACAGCCAAGGAAAAAGGCGGTTTTCATTTAATATTTATTTTATTACCCCACATGAATTAAACAAATCAACCTGGAAATACCACCAATATACAGGGCAGAAAATGTTATGTACAAGATGGAGACACAACACCCCTTAATAATAAATTTAAATGTACAGATTATTTTTTAATAAAGAAACCAAAGGGACAAAGGGAAGGTGGGGAAGGGAGAGAAACTGCCCTTTAAAAATTAAATTTTCATCCATCTAACTTTCAGTCCATATCTCCAGTGTCAATGGAACTTGCAAATTATTAAATAATGGCATTGATATATAGAATATTGACAATTTAAATACATTAATTATCATTCTAAATAAATAATCTGGGAAAGGAGGCTGCTTTGAGTTTGCAGCTCCACTGACCTGTGTTTAAAATGACAACAATGTTCTGCTTCTATCTTGCTCCTTAAAGCTGGACCCCAGATCCAAATTGAAATCAATGGATGTTTCATCCGTGTCTGGAGCACCAGAGTCTAGTCTGGAGTGAAATGGTATTTTCTCTGATCATCCATTCAATTGGTCTTTACACATAACCCCCCACCCCACCCCACCCCAGAAAAAGTATTTGGATTCACCCCTTGCGTCCTCACAATTGCATGTAAAACAAGGAACTGCAGAACATGCAGGAGTGGGGTGTTCCAGTCCATGCATCATCTTGACTCTTGATAGAAATTAAGAACCTTGCTCCCACTGGGTATTGGAATAGGCCGTTCTGGAACAAAATCAATTAAATTTTTTTCATTTGTTTCAGGACAAAAAAAAAAGCCCATGTGCTTTGCTTTAAGACAGTAGTCCTTAACCTCGGGTTATTCAGGTGTTTTTGGACTGCAACTCCCAGAAGCCTTCACCACCAACCAGCTGTGCTGGCTGGAGTTTCTGGGAGTTGCAGTTCAAAAACACCTGAGTAACCCAAGGTTAAGAACAACCGCTTTAAAATGTTCATTTTTCTGTCAGCCCACACACAGTCATGTGGAAGTGGCAGCAACTGAATGGGTTCCTACTCAACTCGGGAGACTGACATTCAAGCCTATCACTGTCCTGGAAGCAAATGAACAGGCAGGAGAGGGAGCAGCGCAGATTAGACTACCCCCCATGGATAAAGTGCTCAGCAGGCAGGTTAAGCTGGGGACTCTTAATTTTAAAGTGTATTTCAAGAAAACAAAAGCAGCAACAAGGTACTTCGGGCGCCATGCTGAGGTGAACAGCGGGGTGCGCACAGGGAGGGAATCTCTGTCCTGAGACTGCAGGTTGGTTGGCCAAGGTAAGACCGGTTTGTAAGGTTAGTGTCTTCCCCACTCATGACTAGTTTGGAGATCTCCAAAAAGGAATTCAAACCATGATCCAACCCCTTAAGGAGCAACTGGCGTTTTCTCCTATTTTTTTTATGTTGTAAACTTTGCCGGGAATATCCAACTGCATCTCGCTTTCCCTTCTTCTTGACCCTTCTTGCAGTTTTCTTTTTTAAAAATTATAATCAATGATTATTTCCAATGAAATTCCACACATTTCTGTTCAACAGGATGGTGGTGGTGGGAATCTGGACACTCAGGGCTCTCTGCTCAACAGCTGCAAAGCAGAGGGGAGGGAGTATCAAAGAACAGAGAAATGGGTAGCCAAGAGTTCCTTAAACTGCGGGTTGAATGGCAGTTGGTTCACTAGTGCACTGGTTCTTAACCTTTGTTACTCAGATGTTTTTGGGCTGCAACTCCCAGAAGCCTTCAGCATCAGCTCTGCTGGCTGGGGTTTCTGGGAGTTGCAGTTCAAAAAACACCTGAGTAACAAAGGTTAAGAACCACTGCACTAGTGTAAAGGGAAGGGTTTACTGCATCACAACAGGAAACCAGAGTGTAGGAACCTTTAAGGCACTCTTGACGTCTGACTGCACTTTATGGGGATTGTTTTGCACGAGCCCACTGGATGCAGACTTACCATCACAAATCCAGTTCAATCCCAAGGAAAATCTTTACTTCTCATGGGCAAAAGATGCTTGCCCTTGAAATCAATGAAGGCTTTAATGTTCCTCAAGACATGCTTCCTCATGATGCCCTTTGGCAAGGAAGCATTCTGAGAACTGCTGATGCTGTCTTGAAGAGACTGGGAAACAAGCCTTCCTAAAAAAAAAAAACTTGTGGAAATACAGGCATCGTTTATTAAGCAAAATGTACAGGCACGTAACAGGTCCTGCCAAACAGAGCTAGCTCCTGTAAAGGGTCGAGGCAGTACTCTTACATGGGACAAACACACATGAATGACCAACTCTGACATTAGGAGTCAGCTGAAAAGAAGAGCCTACTAACACAGCGCTCAAGAACAATTCACTTGAACAATATTCCTCCTGGTCTATCTTAAAATCAGGAAATGATAGGTGTCAATGGGAGGGTTAAGGCACCATAAAGAGGAGGGCAACAACAAAATTTTAAATTACTTTTAGAGTAAATTGGAAACAAATGCAGCAGGAGGTATGACAGTCCTGAAGGCACTCTTTTCTACTGTAACCTCTGAAAGAAGTAGATCGTTTTGCTTGCAAATCAAAGACAATTGCCCGTTCATTGCATCGCACCAGCAGGGGCTGGGTGGAGAGGTTCATACCTTGGCAGATCTAACAAAATGAAGCAACCACACCAAACCCTACAGTCCGGTGTACCACCTGCCAATGTACATGGAAAACTGGGCGTACAGAACCAAAGGCAAACATTTGAACCTGGCACGACACAGAACGTGAGCTGAAACGGCATGCTGCAAAGTTGCTCCTATGTAGAAGATTTGAAAGAGGAAATCCTCTTCATACAGCTAATATGAACCCTTCCAACTGGCAGACTCTCTCCTGGATCTGCCGCACCATGGAATCCTCGGAGGGCCTGCTTCCTGTGCACAGATGGTTCCTCCTGCAACCCTGAACTTCTTGCCATGTAGAGCCTGGACGTACGTGGCAAGTAAGATCCTTTTCTGGAACACTTTCTGAGGGGAGTGTTTCCACTGCATGAAGTAGGACAAAAAAAAATGAAGGAACAGCAGATTCAAAAGGAATGAAAGCAGCCGTTGCCAGCAATTCCAGTTCATTTCATTAGTGCAGTATTGCTCAATTCACTTAAGTTGCAAGGGCAAGCCTGCCAGCCCGCAGCACAGGGGGCACACAATCAGGGTGAATGTCTCCGCCACTGGGTATCCTCTGCTCTTAGTGGCTTCTCTCAGTGGAGTCCCAGGGTCCTGCTTTCTTTATGGGACTGCCCATGCCCCCAAGCACACAACGTATCATCAGGAAACAAGACAGCCTGGGACTAGTGCACTGTTGCTACCATATGCAAGCAAGGACCAAGGGCGGAAAGGAAGGGGCAGGATCCGGGAAGTGACACAAGCAAGGCCAAGGGGCTTCTTGTGAGTCACAAGCCAAGCAGCAAGAAAAAGGGAAGTAGTGCAACAAAGGGCTACACATGGCAAACGGAGAGACCAGTCGTTTTGCCATTTTTAAAAGCAAGAAAAGGTTGAGTTGTGCTGTTGGAAGATTCCCCTTCTTCCCCCCCCCCCCCGATTCTCTGTCCATCCCATGCTCTTGAAACAAAGGCTGATGCTACACATTGCATTTAGGGTTGATCAAGGAAAAAAGAAAGAAAGAAAGATGTATCTGAATTCTATGCTGGGCCCACATTCTTTGCATTGTTTGAGGTGTTGCAGAAAATTCTTTGGGTGGGTGGATCTCCTTCTCACTGGCACTTCCTTCACGTGTTGCGTTGATTTGTTTATTTACTTATTTTTGCCTGCTTTTGTCCTGCTGGTTATTCTTTTGTAGAAATGTTTATAGACCACTGACACAATGAAACCATGAAAAGGGGGGAGGGGGAAATAAAAAGAGAGAGAAAATTGCACTTTGTCCTTTGAAAGAAAGAAAGAAAGAAAGGCATCCACCACTTTGAGGCCTCTTTTCCACCATTAATCTTCCAGGTGACCTCCTGGCACCACAGAAACATAGTCTTTGATAAATTCCTGGGTGGCACCATCTCTCTTCCACCAGGCACACCATTCTAGTGTTGATCCAGGTGCTTTTTTTCCTCTGTATCCAGCATGTCAGTCCAGGAGGCTATTTCTGAGGCATTCAAAGTGCAAAAGAGTCCAAGGCAAGGTTCTTGCCTCAAAAGCACCAGTTAAGGCGTATTTGGTTCCAGTCTCAGCCACTGCAAACCATGGCGCGTGTAGTGTACCAGTTCAATCATACTGCTGTTCAAGGAGAGGGTGCAGGCGGCAGCACTAAGCTTAGAAAAAAATTCTGAAAGAGGAGGAGGAGGAAAAGAGCTGGCATTACTCTGGGCTCTTTTGGTACCTGTTTAACACCATTTAACTTGTTAGCTTAAAAAACAACAACAACCCAACTTCTTTTAAAGGAATGTACAGAAACACCCTACGGTTGGCAGGAAAAGCAGTACATCTGCATCAGTTCTGCAAGGTATCAGGGGAAAAGGCACTTCCTGGGAATGGCAGCTAACCAATGTACAGCAGTACCTCGGTTTACAAAAATCAATGCGTTCTACGGGACATTATGTAAAGTGAAAAATTTGTAAAGCAGAATGCAGATTGCCACAGGAATGGGGGCGGCACTATAAACCTTCAGGCACAATGCATCCTGGGGAAACTTTCTTTGTAAACCAAGGTACTACTGTACCCTCTAATTTTCAGCCCTGCTGGGCGGAACTCCGCCTCTTGCGTGCCTGACTTCTCCCCTGCGTGCCTTAGTGCAGGGGTCATCAACCCCTGGTCTGCGGCCCGGTCCCAGTCCGTGGGCCATGGATACAGGGTCATCAACCCCTGGTCTGCAGCCCAGTCCGGGTCCATGGGCTTGCCGGAACTGGGCCGTGGATATGGATCTCTGCCCCCCTGCATGCACATGCGGTGGGGATGACAGACTTGCATGGGAGGTGTCGCACCTGCAGTGGGAGTGTCGCGCTCGTGCGCATGCATGCAAGTGCAGCACACACACCCCTGCATGCACATGCGGTGGGGATGACACACTTGCATGGGGAGTGTCGCACCCGCAGTGGGGGTGTCACGCTTGTGTGCATGCAAGCGCAGCATCCCCCCGCACGAGTGTGACATGCCTCCCCTGCATATGGAGTTCACTCCCCCCAGCTGGTCCGCGGCCCCAAAAGGGTTGGGGACCGCTGCCTTCGTGACTCCACTGCCCATGTGCGGTTTTTTGTTGTTGTTGCTATGAGAAACAAAAGGGGTGTGACATGCCTCCCCTGCATATGGAGTTTGCTCCCCCCAGCTGGTCCACGCCCCAAAAGGATTGGGGACTGCTGCCTTCGTGACTCTGCTGCCCATGTGCGGGGTTTTTTTTTGTTGCTATGGGAAACAAAGGGTATGTGCGGAGGAGGAAAGCTGCACGGAGGGAGGTGGAGTCCCGTGTGCCTTAGAGGGATCTCTGCAGCTAACACTTTAACGTTGAAGCAAGTTTCTACTCCTTATGGAGACCAAGATATGTTTGAAAGCCTCTCTGAGATTCTGCAGTCCAAGAACATCTGGAGCCCCAAGATTGGGGACCACCACCTTAGAGGGAGCTCTGCAGCTAACACTTTAACGATGAAGCAAGTTTCTACTCCTTATGGAGACTAAGATATGTATGAAAGCCTCTGGCTCCTGAGATTCTCCAGGAGGCACCTCAAATGGTCATTCAGTTGGGAAAAACTTGGTGGTGAGCCTGCACAGTCCCTGCATAATTCCATGCTCTACCGCATGTCTTGCAAAACATAATATATTGTCCGGAGCAAGAATAATAACACTTAAGTGGTTCATTTGAGCAATTTACACAGCAACTGAATTCAGCTTTTTTCAGAAGGTTATCTGGATATCCTTGGCAGATAATCTTGATTTTTTTTCTCCTTCTTGTTTTATGCATGCTGAACTCAGTATCCTTTCGCTTAAGAAAAATGTAGAGGGGAAAGAAGGGTGATTCTAATATATTCCTTGCAAGAAATATTAAGAGGCTGTAGAATCACTATTGAAAATGAGTGGCTGGATCAGAAATATAGCTATTCTAAACCTGAAGTTGTTTAGGACCAATAAATAAAATTTATCACCTGAAACAAACAATGTCTGAAGACAGGATTTAACTTTACATCTTCCACATATTAATGCAATGTTACCTCTACTGACTTTTTATTAAGCACATTATTTATAATTAGTCTAATGCTCTGCTACTATAAAAACAGCTCAATTTCTCGAAAAGCTACTGATCTTAACTCACTCTCTCTCTCTCTTTATGCGTGTTTATTTTTATTTTATTTATTCTTTTGCCCAATAGCTCTTGGATCAATCTGAAATCTTTTCTGCACAAAGAAAGACTGATCTAATTAACAGCCCAGTTCTGAGGATTATCTCAGACGGACCCTAAATGGGAGCCTCTGAGATAAAGCCCTGATGTGCTCATACTCCATCAGAGTAGCCAAAAAAGAGGCACCACTTTATTAGATTAACAAGCAATGGGAGGGAAATTTAGACTGCCAGCCCAGATTGGGGGTGTGACTGGGGCCTGGGAGCACTTTGGATCCGCTGAATCAATAGCACCCCCATGCCCTGCGCTAACAGCTCTTTATTAGATTAACAAGCAATGGGAGGGAAATTTAGACTGCCAGCCCAGATTGGGGGTGTGACTGGGGCCTGGGAGCACTTTGGATCCGCTGAATCAATAGCACCCCCATGCCCTGCTCAATGCTAACAGCTCCATAAAATAAATATGCTGCTCTAGTACAGATGCAGGATATCATCTCCAATCAAGCCCGCTGACCTGTGCATTTCAGAACAAAAATATATGCCACGGATAATAGGATATTCACTGGGAATTTGTGGCCAACAACCTCTCCCTAGTCTTGATCCCTCACCGTTTCCCTGTGTTTTCACGAATGTGTGCCTCCTCCTTCTCATTTTATAGCATCTATTGCTACAAATACAGTGGTGCCTCGCTTAACGATTGCCCAGCTTAATGAGGAAATCGCTTGATGATTACTGTAGGTTTTTGTGATCGCAAAACAATGGTTTAAATGGGAAAAATCAGCTTCACGATGATCGGTTCCCTGCCTCGGGAACCGATTTTTGCATTACGACGATCTAAAAACAGCTGATTGTCGGGTTTCAAAATGGCCACCGGGTGTACAAAATGGCTCCCCACTGTTTTTAGGAGCCATTTTTCGCTATACAGGCACCCGAAAATGGCTGCCCCTATGGAGGATCTTCGCTGGATGGCGAGTTTTCAGACCACTGGAATGCATTGAATGGATTTCAATGCATTTCAATGGGCTTTTAAATTTCGCTTTACAATGTTTTCGCTCTACAGCGATTTCACTGGAATGAATTAACATCATCAAGTGAGGCACCACTGTACAGTGCAGATACGCATATGCTGCTACTTTATGTGGGATCCATCTAGCTCAGCACTAGTCCACCTAGCCCACTCTACTCTGACTGGCAGCAGCTCACTGGGATTCGATTATTACGCAAACCATCTCCTTTTTCAGATGTGGCACCTTAAAGAGAAAGGCTTCCAAGCTATGGGATCTTTCAAAATTGTCTTGCTAAGGAACCCGATAAACTGGCCTTGAGGGAAAGGAGAGCTTCGGGATGCGGCATGAATGATGTCAGCTGGAATGCATGGGAACAAATAACTTACTCTTATTCTTCCTGGCCAAAACATCAGCTTGTTCCCAGAGATCATAGGCGTAGAGAATATACGAAGTGATGTTGACAAAGGAAGAGGTTATGGTTGGGATATAATGAGGAACAGTAACTGAAGAGCCACTTCCACAGCTGCTGGCACTGGACCCTGTCTGGGAGCTTACAGATCCAGCTGGAGAAGGCATTGGGGAAAGAGGTGAAGGGGTGCCCGTACTCCTGAAGAGAAAAACAAAGAGCATCATCAACACCACTGCAGAAACTAACAGGGAGCTCAACTGCGAGAAGTACAACCGTTGTACAGCAAAACAGTGTTGCTAGGAAACAAGAAGGAGGCAATTGGGATGTTTGGGGGAATCCCAAGGTTTCCAGAAATGTAAAGAAACCTTCAGGGCAATTCTCTCTCTCTCTCTCTCTCTCTCTCACTCACTCTCTCTCTCACTCACTCTCTCTCTCACACACACACACACACACACACACACACACACACACACACACACGTACGTACAAATGCAGCCATCTCAGGTCTCATTTTCCCATTTGGTACCAATGGCACAAGTTGTCAATTAATAGTAGCATGTGTATTTACTCAATAAAACGGCTTTCTTTTCTTGAATAAACACACTGGGGGTTGGATTCGATAAGCTTATAAGGCCCTGTCCAACTTTGTGATTCTATGATTCTAGTGAAGGGGAGGAGTTTTTGTGAGGAACATCTCCTCAGACCCCTCCCAAGAACATTTTTTGTGCAAAGAAGGAATGGGAAAAAACATAGAATTAGATCAGTGAACCAGGTAAAGTCACCAGAAAGTTAAGCTTAGGGTTATTGTTTTTAAAGCGGCATCATCAAGTGTGCTAATGCCTGACCGATCACAGATATGGTTAAAAAAATTTTTTGTCACACTACTTGTTGGAACTTCTTTGGCCTGTGAGATGATAACCCTGAGGCAATTACTGAACTGCCATCTAATTGCTCATTTGTGATGTACCTTTATTCTCCTATCTTTCTGTTCTAATGCAGTCACTCTCAAATCAGTGGTGGCATCTCCTCAGTTATTAACTGAGGTTCTCAAGATGTATTCCCCCCCTCGCATTACATAGAAATACTCATTTTGCTCTTCTTTGAAATATCCAAACTTTTGCTAAAGCCAGATAAATACAGTGTTGCCTCGCTAGACAGTTACCCCGCATAGCGGTTGTCCTATGGCCGATCTTCTCTAGACAACGACGATTCTTTCCCATTGGTACGCATTAAACACGTTTCAATGCATTCCAATGGGCAAATGCTTTTCGCTAGATAATAATTTCGCTAAACAGCGATTTCAGTGGAACGGATTATCATCGTCTAGTGAGGCACCACTGTATTTTCTTGTAAGTTCTACCCTGCTCTTTCTCTAAAAGACTCAGAACAGCAAATGCAGGATTATATCAATTCATATTAACAACAGCCCTACACAGTTGGTTAGCTGGAGGGATCAACAGGCCCCAGACCATTGAATGTAGGAGAGGGTTGTGAACTCAGATCTCCCCAGCCTAAATTTTACATTTTATCGGCTCTGAAAAGACTGGCCACATAATCCTATACAACAGGCATACACAACTTTTGTGTGCCTGGGGCCTCATTTTCTGCCGCGGGATCCTCTTGGAAAAGCTTCCATGTCTCAAAAGAATGAAATTAGAAGTGGCTCAAGAATCCATTTCTGGTTTGGGACAGCTTTCCAGATAGGCTGATATGTCCATGGCAAAAGGAAAATGAAAGACGGGATGTTTTTTATAATTGGTCTCGATTTCTTGATAGAGTTGGAATAACTTAGACTTAAATTAAAATATGAATATAAGCTGATATTTAGAGGATAATCAAATACTGTAGTATACATACATACATACATACACACACACATATATATACACACACATATATATACATATACACACGCACACACACACACACACACACACATAAAGAATACAGAGATTTTTTGTACTGGAAAATGAATGGATCAGAGGCATGCATGCTGTACTTAATATGAATAGAGTGGATGATTGTATACTCTGTGTTCTCCTATCCTCAACACCTTTTTTCCATCCCTTGCACTCCCTTCTACCTTTTGTATTCCCTACCCCATTCCTAGTAGTTTAAAAATAATAAATTATTTTAAAAAAAGAATCCATTTCTGGTTTTGAAAAACAAGTATTTAGGAGCATTAAAGAAGGGAGGCAGGTGTAACCTATTCAAAATATGAGTAGCATCCCCTCAAAGCTTTTATTTTCTGTAACAAGGATGTGGGCATATTTTATATATAAATATATATTTCAGTCCTACCTTGCAACACATGGAGAAGGTGCTTGTGTAATTCTTGAAGAATTCTGTAACCAAGAATGAAACACTTTTTGATTTACAAATAACACTGAATTGGCAGTTTCCACATTAAGATTTTTGACTGCAGTTAAACAAAGGCAAGCCATGTGTGAATAAGAAGATATAGGTACAATGTAGTGATCTTACATAGGATATCAGGATGGTCTGACAGATTCACCTTAGGTTTACATCTGTCTCTTCTATGACAACAGTCAGGTTCGGATGTAACAATCTTCGTCTGCTAAACCAAGGTTTGTCAAAATGATAACCGGAGTTACACTTGCATGTTCCCTCCTGCCCCTTTTGTGCACCTTAACCAAAGTTTGTTAAACTAGGGTTTTACATTAAGCACAAACTGAAAAACTGTGATTTAAATTCTAACTATAATTCTTATGTACAAACCAGGATTAAATGATGGTTTGCAAACTTGGATTACGATAAAACGATTAATCCAGTCTCCCAGCCTGAACACTATGAAACTTATTTATTTTCATTTATATGCTGCTTTTCCCCATTGAATGGACCCAAAAGTGCTCACACACAATTAAGACAAATAGGAATTTAAAACAAATTAAACAAAACCATTAAAAAGCAATTAAATGCAGGAATATTAAAACATTTCTAAAGGACAAAAAACAGCAACTATAAGACATCTAATGTATGTTAAAATCAGATGATAAAGGTATATCTGGAAAGAGAGATTTTCAATTTTTGCTTGAAAAAGTCAGGGGGGGGGCGGCGGGGAACCTAACCTCTTGTTCTTCTCATGTGCCGTCAAGTCTCCCCCAACTGATAGCAATCCCATGAATGACCAGTCTTCAAAATGTCCTGTCCTCTTGCAAACCTAAACCTGTAGCTTCCTTTAGAGAGTCAAACCTCATGAGGGAAAGCATTTCACAACCTAGGAGCAGCCACCAACGGCCAAGTCAAGGGCCTTCCTGGAAGATCTTAAGACCCGAGGGCCATTATATGGGGAGATATGGTCCATCAGTTTAACTAGTTTAACAAATCTCCACAGAATATTACTAAGGCATAAGAGAAAAGAGAAGACAAAATGCAAATGGTAAGTGATTCTTGTCTGATACCTTCATTTATTGACTGAGATTGTTACATATGAACCAGAACAGAGTCCGTGCAGATAATATGCTTAGCGGCCATTTTGAGAATACACAGAACATATGAAGTTGTCATGAGTTACATCACCCAATCTAAGTCTGGTATTTCCCATTCTGACTGGGCTGCATTGTACACTATGAATCCTTCTATCCGTATTTCAAAACAAAAAGGAGGAAAACTCTTTTTTTCCCCAACTGCTCACTTAACTACAGCATTATGAATGGACCCTACTCGAAGGCTCATGTCTCAAGTTGTTTTAACAACCAGTCTTAAATTCCCACACTTACACCTCATTATCTTCCTCTTCTTACCTTGAAGTGTTCATTCAGGGTCCGGGAATACTTTATTGCTGTGTCCTTTTTGTAGCGAAACATTGCCATGTACAGAATGGCCTGGCATCGCATGCTGTGAAAACACCATGAACACAGACCCATGTTATCTAGGATGTTTCACTTTGGGCTGAACTTGAGACCTGGCATATCAATGAGGCATGACTCCTTCCTATGGATGCACAACACAAAACTGAGGGTATATTCAAGCCTAAACCAGCAAAATCAAGACTGCAGTGCTTTTTAATGAAAAAAAACAGAGTATGATTTTTATCCTGCTGTACCCAATGGGCTTTTTTTTGGGGGGGGGGAGATTCTATCAAACAGAATCCTGTTTGATAGGCGTTCATGATCAAAATGCTATTTTGATAAATAGCATATGATATAGCAGAAAAAGTTAGAATATGTCAATATGCAGTCAAGCCACCCCCCAACCTAGCACCCTTCTTGCCGAAGGGATGCTGGTTGAGGATGATGAGAAATGTAGTCTAACTCATCTGGATAGCACCAGTTTGGGGAAGGTTGTCATTCTCGCAATGCAGAAGCAGAAGAGGGGTTAATGGCTTTCCAAAGCCATCTGAATCATGGCTGAGCTAAGCATTTTTGAACTAACAGTTTATTTTAAATTAATGCCATGTTTTTAAAAATAGTGCCGGCCAAACTGAAAGGCTACAGAATAGCACAAAAGTCCCACTTACCAAAACACAATGAAGATTTTTTCAGGGGTGGCTGTAGAAGAGTCCGCAAAGGATTTTAATGTCATTATGAACCTGTAAGGACAAAATTATAATAACATAAATTTTGGCTTACTGAAGTGGCAATTGAACAGTGCTTCTTTACTGTTGTGCTGGCACAGGGGGCAGGAACACTGTAGACCTGAACAGTCAATATTTATTGAGACTTACTTCCAGGTTGTGTGACTTGTTCTTATTTAATTTTTCCTCCTCTAGATAGCCACATGCAACATTAAGAAAAAAATTATTTCACTGTAAAATTCTCCCTAGGGAGCTCAGTAGTGTAGGTCTCTGGCTGGAGAGCCAGAGATTGGGGGGTTCAATCTCACACTGTGCCTCTTTGACTGGACCTGGATTTGATTATCCATAGGGTCCCTTCCAGCTCTGCTGTTCCGAGAGGATGATGACTCAAAGATAACCAGGCACACAGTCAATCAAAATTATTAAAACATTAACTGGTATTATGCAACAGATACAAGTTTGAACCCAAAACCTAAGTATGTTAAATATCGGTGCAGTATGTAATGCTATTCCTAATATTACTGTATTTTGTAACCCTGGTGTTGTTGTTGAAGGGGCAAATAAACATTTTAAAATTTTAATGTTATTATTACTTTATAAACTCCTGTGGTTCTCAGGAGGGCCAAAGCGGTCTACCCATGAAGGGACCTTTGCTGCAGAGTATCCTGTCCCCTATTCCCCCACCCTACCACCCCGTGTGACTTATGCCAGTATATTTAGCCACTATGGCTGCTTCAGAGATCAAAGCAAATCTAATCACAAAGGGGGGGTTCGGTTCGGTGGTGGGGGTGGTTCAGGGAGGGTGTTTCAAGCACCCTGTAGGGTAGAGCTCTGATCCTCTAGAATCAGGAGTGAGTGAAGTGTGGTCCATGGGTCAAACAATACATAGCTCAAGGCTGTTTCTGCGGCCCCTGCGCTCCCCCATACCCCCTTTAGAAGCATCCAAAAATAAAAAAACAATTCCCTGTATGCCACAAAAGCAATAAGAAAGGAGAATTCCAGGAACTCAATCTGGGCCCCCTTCCCCTCCATGAGGAGAGGGGGCTCATGCAGACCTCGGTCAGTCTGCATGGAAAACTCACACTTGAACCTTCCAAAGCTGCCCACCTGGGCCCTGGATCAAGCCCTCCTATTTCCTGGAACAGGGAAGGGAATGAACGCATTTTCTCCTCAGATTGGAAACAGGGCTTGGGGAGTGATGGTTTCTTCGAAGGCACAATTGTTCTTTTTCTCTCCCTTCTTTTCTTTCTTTTGGAAAGGCAGCAAGTTTTTAGAAAAATCCCACTTCTTGCAGAACAAATGGAAGGGATTTCTGAACTACTACATTTTTGCATCTGAGTAAAAATAATAGCATTTCCAAACAAGTAAAACCAGAGAAGAAACCATCAGCGAAAGCCAGACGTTATACAGCCAAAAAATATTCAATTTTCTTGCTATGTGGAACTTTCCCTTCAACATTAATTCTAAGGAAGAACGGCCAAGTTTCGCCAGAGCCGAGAGATGCCAGAAAGTGTTCTGATTCCATCACTCAACTCCCGAGGCGCTGGCACAAAGAGGCGTGACCCTAAAGCCGGGACAACAGTTATGGCGGGGGCTTATTTTCTCCTGCCTGTCAAGAACAGCATTCCCTTTTAAATCAAGCCTTATTTATTTATTCAAAATAGTTATATCCTGCTTTTCTCCTAAAAAGGCCCCAATCCTTAGGCTAAGCAAGATGCAAATGCTCCTGTGCAACACCTTAGTTCATCAGATGTGTGAAAGAAACCCAGTATGTGGCATTCTTGAGGAAAAGATGGCGCAGGCCCTGGCCCCACAATTACCTGGCAGATACAGCTCCACCTTAGCTTTAGAAATAGAAATTGCCTTTGCAGATTCAGGGGAAACACATAGAAAGGGACAGAGAAGCATGACCAAGGGGAAACAAAGGTGGAGAATGGCACAGATTCCTGTCTAGGATGCAGAGTTCAAACAGTGGTTCTGATGGATAAAGAGTGCTATACAGTGGTGCCTCACTTTATGATTGCCCCGCATTACGACGATCTTTTTGCAATCGCAATTGCGATTCTTCGCAAAACGACGATTTTAGAACAGCTAATCGGCGGTTTCAAAATGGCCACCGGGTAAACAAAATGGCTCCTCGCTGTTTTCTGGGGCGGATTCCTCGCTGCACAGGCACCGAAAATGGCCGCCCTATGGAGGATCTTCGCTGGACGGTGAGTTTCCAGCCCACTGGAACGCATTGAAGGGGTTTCAATGTGTTTCAATTGGCTTTTTATTTTCGCATTATGATGTTCAGTAAATAATCTCAAGGTAGTTCTAACAATGGATTAAACGTTAGAGTATAGGACAATCTGGGCCGATACAATTTCTCCATTAAAAGAATAATAATCTAGGTGCTGTTTCCACTACAGAATGCAGGGGGTGGAAGTGAACTTTCTTGGCAATGGCTCCTTTTCTTGGGAGCCCCTTTTTCCACATAGGGAAGCTCGTCTGTCCAATTTGCCAGGTTTCAAGGTTTGCTACAAGGCAGAGCAAAACACTCTGTGCAGCTTCACAAGAATACGTTTACGCTATACGAATGTCAACAGGCTCCAGTCCACAAATGCAGAAACAAAACAGCTATATCCCAAACGACAGCTATATCCCACGAGCAGAGAGGTTAAGAAGCTGGACTACACGCGAGAAAGAAAAGGGAAAAGCCAGAAAATTACAAACCACTTACTTGATGAGTTCTATGGTCTCTGCAAACATGGTATACGCTGGCTTTGGCGAGTGGGGATCGGATTCCATGGCAATGCCGCACTCAATGAAAGACAGGGCAGCATCCAAGTACTTGAAGGCCTTTTCAACTTTGTCTGTCTGTTGAGCAGAAGGTGTTGCGGTCAGTCAGGAAAGAGAGTTCAAATCCTTCGTGCACTTCACTGTCTAGACAGTTACCCTGTTTCCCCGAAAATAAGACCTAATCTGAAAATAAGCCCCAATATGTTTTTTCAGGATGCTCGTATTATAAACCCTACCCCAAAAATAAGCCCCAGTTCAGTAAAACCCTGTCCTCCACCATTGTGCAGCAACCAGAAGAAGATGTGACTGTATTTGAATAAATGTAGATGGCTGTACATGAAAAAATAAAACATCCCCTGAAAATAAACCCTGCTGCATTTTTGGAGCAAAAATTAATATAAGACCCTGTCTTATTTTCGGGGAAACAGGGTACCCTCAGTGCAATATAGAAAAGCCTGGCCTTACCCTTACTGTCAATTTTAATGTCCATTCAAGGGTACTCCTTGCCTTACTCAATAATGAAACATAAGAGCTCCTGCTAGTGCATTGCACTAATGTGCTAATGAGTTCTAATGCAGACATTTAACAAGACTATTCAAAGGAAATACATAATTTCAAAATGCTTCACACTTGCCATTAGTATTATTTCACCACTCTTTAGAACACAACGTGCTGAGAAACTGGTATGGGGCGGTGCTGTGTTCTTTCTGCTGCTTTACAGTGTTATGCAACAGGGCTGGATCTCTAATCAGTAAAAGCTTTTGAACACTTTTAAGTACGAAGAAAAGTAAGAAACAGAAGGTATTATACAGTTGAGACCTGACTTTCACAAGCAAATAAGGAAGGCCTCGGTGAGCACACACTGGTGCTGCCGTGTGCCAAATGTTTGACAATATGCTGCAGAGGTTTTCAAAACATCCAAAATGCATCGGATTTTATAGATCAATTCCTTATCTAAGTTTTCATTATTTAAAGGAAACCCTTAGATAATGAATTAGCTCCACATATACCAAACGACAGTTAACATGGCCCACTTCCACACTATTCAGAAAACGTTTGGGACATCCATTGTGCTACAAGATGGGATCAATAGTATTCAACTCTCTGCATAACTAAACCCAATTCCGAGTTAAAACTATCAATAGTCCAGATTTTTTTTTTCACTTTAATAAAGCGGATGGGAGTTGAAGCATTTCTGCTGCTCAACACTTCTGTTTTACTGCTTTGCATTTGAAGCAGCCCTGATCATTACCATTGCACTGCTCCCTTGTCGTACAGATGTGAACTGAGACTGACAAGAACGGGACTTACTGGGGCATTTTCAATCATATAGTGAGCCTATATAGCAGATGTGGGATTTAATCTCTGGTTTCCCAGATCCCCGTCGTACTCGCTCTTCAATTCATCACCCTTGCTCTTCTCTGTCGACACCTGGTTGCTCTTTGTAAGTAAGATTACTGGTATATCCTGGACAGTGAAGTTTATTTGGAACCAATTACTTTTATCTGTGTACCTCTCAGAGGAATGCCCAGACGTTACTATAGCATAAACACTTCCACCACACTGGGCATTCCTCAGAAGCCCTGGGTTTGGATTACCCACTTAGCCATGGAAACTCAGGGGGCGACTGGTAAAAACCCCTCCTTAAATATCTCACTTACCTTGAAAGCCCTATTTGAGTCGTTATGAGTTGGTTTCAACTTGAAAGCAAATAATAACAACCTTTCATTATTCCTAGACAGATTTCCTTACCTCGTTGTGACCATTTCTAGCAACCAGAGAACCTACCATTGCGTCGGCTTTGTGCTTCAACCTTTTGGCTTCTTTTAAATGAAATTCCACTGGATTTTGTCTGAAATAAGACAGTGAAAGAAAGTGGTTCTTAAAATAAATAAATAAAGTTTTTTTAAAAAATAAAAATAAAAAACTACTTTAAATGAATACATATCCCAAGTGTTTGCTTTTTATAGATTTGCTTTTTATAGATTGTATTAATAGTTGAACTAATAGCCGGGCATTTAGAAAACACACATACACTAACAGCTTGGGCACTGATATACCAGGAAATTCTTCTCTTTCCCAAATGTGCTTTACTTATTTATTTAATTTGTATCCCATCTTTCTCCCCAGTGGCAACATTCAGTTAATGTGTGCTTGTGTGCACACCTGTGAATATCTCATGCTCCTTAAAAAAATTTCTTTGCATATACTAAGCTAGCACTGGAGTGAGAGGATTATGCTGACGCTTTCTCACCAAATGTGGCAGTTTTCTGCATACAATCATCTTTTTTTTGACATGGAAAATGCATACAAAAAAGCAGTTTAACAACTGTTTTCTTGGGCTATGACTCAGAATTAATCTTTAGTGCGAAATATGCATCTTTAATTATTTTTTAGAACATCAAGTGACATTTATCCAACAGGAGATAATATACACAATGACGTACTATTCTGGCATAATTCAATTATCGTTGACACCCACACTTTGAAAATGTAGCTGAAGTCAGAAGTTGTACTGTTATCATAGCAGGCTTTTGTCCACATATACAAACTGTTGGATAAAGGACTATGCAGCAGGGAAGCAAAATGGCACTCATACTGCAAAAAACGTCAGTGACAATACTTAAAGAGAAGTACGTCCTTTTCTTTGAAAGGCTTTGTACCTGTCCCTTAAGGGAGACTATAGAGCACATGTTCTTCACTTGCCTGCATTACAGTGTGATCTGAAAAGAGATCACCACCCACTCACTGATCAAAAAAATTCCTGGCTCTTCAGGGAGAAAAAGAAAGAGACTTGAATTTCTTCTTTCTGATATAGACCCCAAGATCATTTACCAAGCAGCTTCTTTGAAAGGCTTTGTACCTGTCCCTTAAGGGAGACTATAGAGCACATGTTCTTCACTTGCCTGCATTACAGTGTGATCTGAAAAGAGATCACCACCCACTCACTGATCAAAAAAATTCCTGGCTCTTCAGGGAGAAAAAGAAAGAGACTTGAATTTCTTCTTTCTGATACAGACCCCAAGATCATTTACCAAGCAGGCAACTTTTGTATGGTAACTAGATACTAGATTTTAAATTGTCTTTTAATGGCAAACGTTTTAACAAAATATCTGGAATTTTGGAAACTTGTAAAGGTTTTTTTTTCTTCCCTGTATGGCTGGTCTAAGGACCATAAAAATAAACTGACTGACTGACAACACAAGAGATTTCCTTTTAAGAGAAAGGCAGACTAAGTGGTTTACAAGGGAAGGCAAAAGAAGGTTAAAGGAGAATTCAGTGTTCCCCACAGTGTTCCTACCTGTGCGGCTTGCTTTGAGGTTTCATTGGCTTGGAGGTACCATTTGGCAAAGAAGGCACTGGGAAACGGTCTGGAACATATTCTGCAGAACCCTGGGAAATCGGAGAGGAAAAACATCACGTAGCTGTACTCAGAAAAGGGTTCCGTTCCAAGGTAAACAAGCATTTTACTCATCCAACGACATCCCTTTTCATCTTCTTTTTTTAAAATGCAGGCTAAAGAAATGTGGCTTCTGACTACACACCCAGAAATTTCATACACTAGTGAAAGCATTAAGCCACAGATACAAAAGCACAGTGTGAGCAATGTTGCCTGAAACAATTCAACTTGCCTCCAGCAATGTTAGGAAATAATACTAATCCCACCATTGTCCACCCTTTCACTCACATGCTGAGTGAACACCAGGCTGGCTTCTTTTGACTAAGATGCAGTCCTTCAGGTTACCTCAGAGAGCCTGAAAAATTCTCACTCTGAAGTTTAGTTAACTAAATCTCCACTTATTTTCCAAAAGAGTGTTCTCAGCATTCACAAGCAAGTGACAAACTGCAATAAAATTTCAGAACCTGATAAACTCTTCCACAATCAAGTATTTGATTGTGGAAGAGTTTGATTGTGGAAGAGTTACAAAAAAAGCAAGTATCTGATAACAATCTCAGGAAATCCAGGACAATTTTCAGGCTGCATTTGTTCACTGTTTTTCCAATGAGCAAGGGAAACTTTAAAAGACCACAGAGTAAGTGTACTTATTGGCAGACAATTTTTTCATAAAAACTCCAGAAACAGAATGTAGTGGGGGCAGAAAAGCTTGTTCTCATTTACATTAATACATCTGAAATACAATTTCAGTAGTAGGAGCTCTGCTTGTAAAGTGGTTCTCAGGCCTGAAAAGGTTCACAATCATATCATCATAGGAAAAGCCGTACAGGATCAAGCCGAAGTTCCATCTAGCTAAGCCCTGTGGTTCCTTCTCCAAAGCCATCTTGATCCCCTCCGGGAAGCGAACTAGCAGGGATTAGACAACACAGTAGTCAACATTTTCCCGCACAAAACAGAACATGAGTTTCGCATACTTACTTTGTTGGTTTTTGAGCTTTCGGAAGGCTTCCCCTCCAACTTCCTGTGCTTAGAGGATGAGGAATCTTTGTGGCTTTCCTTGCTCTTGGCAGTGTTGAGAATGGGGCCAGGAGGCTGGCTGCAGGCACCATTTTCATGTTCAGTTTTTGGCCTCTTCTGGGCTACCTTGGCTGGCTTCGGAGAAGGCTGCACGGGAGGTGGTGGCGGCAAAGGCATCTCTTTTCTTTGTGCTTCTGCCGGTAGCTTCGAAATCCTATCAATTGCAGGGAGAGGGAGATCGAAAAACATTTTAGCTCAACTATATAAAGATGTAGGTCAGTGTGCCTATCCATCCCAATTCAAACGCGTTCCGGCTCTGTTTAGGCTTCATCTTGAGCAATCAGGGACTTTCTGGCAATTAGTTAAAAATAAAAAAAAAATGCAGAAGTAAAAGCCAAAAACCACCTACAGGATAATCTACTTTTCAGTTAACCTCTAAAAGACAACTAAGAGCTAAATGACCTGATAAAACACGGGTCAATTAAGGAGATATGTTCAGGTGCTGAAAAACATAACGATTGGTTCTCAGCAATGCCTGGGATCCAAAGAGGTATTTCAAGCCGCACCCATGTGTTTAGACAAGTGACAGGATTTTGAAAAGTTTTGTTCTGAAAACCTTATAATTGCCCCCACCTCATGAGATGGCTGGTGTTCAGGAGGACTTGCAAAGTACAAGTCATGCAGCTTTTGGACTGAGTAGGAAAACACTCTGCATTTTCATTCAATGTCTTCAGAGGTTCTCTGAGCCACATGGGGCCAAAAACTAAGCCTGTCACTCAAAAGTTGCAATAATAACAAATTGTCTTAATACAGGGCCGACAGTCTGTTGCTTTGTACAGTTCAGTCAGAGCTAAAGTAGGCCCGCTGAATCGGTGGAACCTCTGGAAGAGGTGTCTCACCAGATCCTCACTGGTTCAATGGCCATTATTTTAGTGCAATTTACTATACTGAGCAACAGGATTTCAGCCAAGAAGGCCCTATTAGAATTACGGCATTCAATATTAATTCTGTCTTGTTCTGCAAACTCCAGAAGGAAGACAGGAGAGGTTTTCAGAGAGGTAGTGATTAAAAATGGCAGAAAAAAAACCCCAAAAGAATTGTAACCCTTTTACAATCCACTTCTTCAGAAACATCTCAAGAAGTGGTTGAAGAAGAGGATTGTATGTAATCCATGAACGTTCACACTGAAATACATTTCTTAGTCTTAGAAGTGTCATACTGCCAACCTTGGATAAATTGCCTAAGGCCGTTCTATAAGTTTCATGGCAGAAGTAGAATGTAAAGCGGCATTTTTCATGGTGAAACCAAGGGCAGGAAAAATTACTTTTTAGACTAAGGCAGCCAGAAACCCCACCTCACCTCTTGGCACCTGGCCATGGGGATTTTTGGGACACACTATCCGAAAAAGTATTTTTTTCCCCCGAGCTCTGAACCAAACCGATTACTGTAAAGACCAGCTATTACCCAAAAGGTTATCTTGATTAAATTTATTCTTCTATACATACATAATGTGATTACACATGTGACAATTATTATCCGCACTGTTTATGGCCAGCCCTGATTTCCCTGCATGTGTATGTGCAGAAAACAGCCAGGGCTTGATGAACACAACATAGCAAAATATTGCAAATGCTGCAGGTCACGTGTTTTGCTGGCCTAAATATAGGGTCAGATGGGAAATTTCTGGGTCTGTACAATTCACTTCCCCACAAACACAAACTGCATTCAGAAATCTACACATTTACAAGCTGTGAATTAAAAAAACTTAAAAATGCATATATTTTTTTAAAAAAGCTCATAAAATGTATGCTCATTTCCAAGACACACTTATGTCAATGGGACAAATAGACAAAAAATACATATAGTACTTTTAAAAAATGGTGAGAGAAATGCGGGTGAATTGGAGGGGGCGGGACAACAGCCACACTTATGTCAATGGGACAAATAGACACAAAAACACATATAGTACTTTAAAAAATGGTCAGAGAAATGCGTGTGAATTGGAGGGGGCGGGACAACAGCATAATCTGGTATGGAGCCATGTCTGAATGATTTTTGAGGTAGAAAGCAGATACAAGGTTTTACTGATCTGCAGTAAAAAAGGAAAATGCAGGACTTGGTGGGAGTCCCTACATTAAGCACTCAAATAATGCTATTTGACTTGTCTGACTATGAGTTCTGCATGCACATTTCCAGCTTCTGGAATAAATTCAGAACCACACATGCAGTGGCTGCTTTTAACCTTCTGGGCTCTAAGTAAGGGTACCAATGGGAGCTCTCTCACACTCACACACACACACGCACACACAGGATGCCCGGCTGGACCAAGAAGCATGAATTCCTTAGCCTAATACCTGGAAATTTTGCGTAGTTTAAAAACTAGGATCCTTACCTGCAAACTTCAGAACCTACCAGGTGCGTTAGAAGGAATCCAAGGGACAAGAACAGTTTGAACAAACATAGCGTTGAGAGCAAAGCAAATATTAGCCAACTGTTTTGCAATATGCATATTAAACACCCTGTTTTGGGGAATTCTGGATCTCACTCCATTCTGATGGAGTTCCAATAGCCCGCAGTGCTATCACTACTAGGAGAGGTTAGGCACAGCTACAATCCTCTTATTCTACACTGAATTCTCTGGGCTGTTCTTTAGCCAAAACACACAATCCAAGTTCAAAGGACAAGAAAGGGTCGACACAACTCCAAGCATATTTTTTTAAAAAGTAAAACTCTATCTACCCCACCAGCTTTCCACTCACTTGTTTTTACTGGAATCTTTATGACCTGATGATGAGGATGGTTTGGTTTCTTTATCCAGCCTGACTTTTTTCTGATCGTTTCTCAGAGCATCTTCCTGCTGATAATGGAATTTAAAAAATTAATCCTTTGACTCAGGAAGAATCCAATTGTAGCCATACATCAGTACACACAAGAGCTTGCATAACTGCTAGCAGATTCAGGAATTACAAATGAACAATTGCTCCAGGGTTATTGCCACTGATGGCTGATGTTCTCCCCTCTTCAACCTTCTCACCGGTGATAGCTCCAATAAGCCTCTCCCCTTAAACCTATGCTTGGGAATAAAGCTTCTGCCGGCATGCAAATTAAACTGACCCCACAAGTGGGGGGTAGGAGCAGTGAAGCAATGCATAAGGTTCCTCCTGGCTCAGTCATTAATGGCAGTCAATCCTGTCTTTCTTTGCCCAAAGGAAATAGCACACTAGAGACTCTAGCCCATGTGGATTCCCTAAAGTCACTTTAATAGGAATCAGATTTGACAGGAAGAAAAGAACAAGAAAAAGCTGAAGGGTTTTTTTTTACACACAGTTTTTTAAAGATACCAGGTTTTGAGCTAGGCTTGGTGCGTGAGTACATATAAGCAGAAGATCTTATTTAAAAAACAAGCAAGTAAACTCAAAGAGACATACGCATTCTCAGCCACGAGGCCAAGAATTATTAAAGCAATCACAACTGAGTTGAATATTAAGCAATGACTGTATTTACAGCCCACTCAAACTAGCTCATTAACGGAGCAGACTGAATTTATAAATATTTAGGGAAGATCTAAGCAAACAACTGTTCTCAACTGCTCATGCCCATGTGTGGAAGAGGGAAGGAAAAAAAAGTGGGGTTATAAAGCTCTATCATGTCAACAAGGCAATTGACACTCTACTTCCCTCACCTAATTGAAGGCTACTAACTAGTTCTTCAATGGCTGGGTTTCTGCCAGCGTCCCATCCCGTTAGAACCGTCTCTAAAAGCCCAAACCCACTGTAGCCTTTCCCCACAGGCAAGTACTTAAATCCCACAACTATTTTGGTAACTTCTGCCCCTCGTCTTCTTTTGTCTCTTGAGACACTACAAGTATCTACAATGTGGCCAGAACGGCATAAAGTTTGCTGATGGAACTGGTGTCTGAAGGTACCCTTATTGAGTCAAAGGCTCCCTTGAGTTTATCTATCCGTGCTTGGGAAGCACCAATCCGAAGGGGTTGAGGAGTCATTCCTAATTTCCCGCAGTGCTTTGGAGTGCCTGATGTCTGGTCACTTCAAGGAGTTAGAGGAAATACAAAGGGCAGCTTGCATATCCACCTGAACAGCACAAGGGGCCTAAGGCACATGGCAGTACAGGCGGGCTTGGACAGCTGCCCAAGGATGCCACATGCTGGCGGTTTCATCTCCATGTGTTTCTCAAAAATCCCTAGGATGGTTATTTGTCTTCTTTTCCAATACTGAGTAACTGAACTGATGTTTTCACTGAGCTATATCACTGTTAATTGAGACTGCTCAGCCAACACAGACCCCATCTATGTATGAGGTAACCTAAATCAAATTCATTCTTAGGAAGAGCAGAGCACCTAAGTAGAAGGAAAACGTTTTATGAGTGCTATTTTGATATATTTTTAAGGAAAAATACACATCAAACAGGCAAAAAACCACTCATGTAAAACACTGTCACTTTTTTGGAAAAAAAATTAGCTTGGCTAGCTTTAAGGCAAAACATGTTTTTAGCTAGATTTACCACATCTTGTTAATGATGTTTACAACGTTGTTTACTAGTTCCCTGGAATCTCTTACCTTTCTCTTTTTGAGAGATTTGCTCTGGAAATCTGTGTTTGTTTTGTCTGCATCTTGCTTATTCATATTGTGGCTCTCTCTGACCTCAGGTCTTTTGGGGAAGGCTGTCCTTTCCGGTCCCGGGACGCGCGAGAGAAGAGCAAGCTCTATCTTGACCACAAGTGCCGGAGGAACTGGGCCGTCCCCCAGGGGTGACAACAGCTTCTTATCCCTGACAGGCAAGAGAAGCTTGTCTCCGTGATGATTCTCTTTGACCACCACACTCCCTTTGGGGGCACCACCACTTCTACTAGTGGCAGGAACCCTGGGGCTTTCACTTAGTGGGCTGAGGGGCAATTGTTCCACAGTGCCGCCAACCCCTCTGTCCTTTCCATCATCCCGGTCTGAAAATGATTTCACAGAGGACTGGTGCAATATCTTGTGCTTTTTCCTCTCGGAGGGCTCCGGAACAGTGGCTTTGTGTTCTTTCTTATCGCCAGACTTTGGCCTCCCTTTCGTTTTCACCTTGGGCTTGTCTTTGGAAGACTGGTCCTTGGCCCCATAAAGGCCAGGGGGCTCGCTTTCCACTGTTAAGCCTCTCTTCGGCTCCTCTTGCACTGTGGGTTTGTTGGGCTTCCTGGGCTGTTTGCTGCCCACTGTCTGGTGGAAGGGCTCTTCCGTGGGAACGGGAGACTTCTGGTAGCTCCGTTTGGTAGGGAGATGCACCTCTTGAGATGACCGAGAAGATTTGCTGGCAGTTTTCGAGTGACCATCTGGTGGCTGGGGACATTCCCTTTTGCTGCTGTTGGCACTACTTCCACTAAATGTTTTCCCTTGGCTTTTCCCCTCCTGGAAACTCCCTCTACTGCGGTCGTCCTCAAGGACACGCTCACTGGGTCTCCACCAGTTTTTCAGCTGCCATTTTTCAGCTGCTTGTGGATCAGGCTACGGTGAGATGAAAGGAAAAAAAATTATTTGCCGAAGAGTACATCAAGTTGCATTAGTTCCTCTTTTCCATACCCCTTGGGACGCAGCTTACATTTTAAATTGAGCAAAAGGATAAGCAATGGTGTCTCCCACTGATGTATTTCCATTGGCACAGAACCTCAAGTGAAAAAAAAATCACTACCTTCTGTCATCCAAATGTCTTTTTATCCTCTCAAACGACTACATGCTTTCTCCCTTGCTGAAATATATGCTGTCTTTGCTACTTTCTTCAAAACAGTCTCCTAACCCCACTTTTCCCACTGGCAATGATAAACCTCTAACTCCTGCATCCAGTTTCTTGTACCTCAGTATGTAACCAAGCCTAATGGGAACAATGGTATATTCTTTCCAACAAGGAGTTCTGCGGCACCTATTAGGTGGCAGCTAAGAGAATCCACACATCTAGGCTGAGGTCCACAAAAGCTTGTGTCTTGTAAAACCTGTTTATTTCAAAGGTGCCAGGGAATAGCACAGCTGCTACCTTGAAAGCTTATCTTTCTGGTTTACCCTCTCCTTCCACTTCCTTCCCTCTTCTATATTATTTTCCCCTGTATCTAGTTTAAAGTCTTAAGCTCTTTCGGGGGTGAAGTTGGAATTGCTCTCCTGCAATGATGGTGCTAATGTGGTAGAAAAATAAATGTTAACATCTTAATTCTCTCCACACTAATTGAAACAGCAATAAAAAGCTCTGGCAGAACTCCTCTGCTCCTTAATTACAGACATTCAGCTTAAAGGGCTGTTTGCAGTCTGGTCTATGCATAAAGCTAACAGCTGCCTTGCTCATAAGATTTGGGCTTTTTTTGTTTGCTCATTCATGTAGGGCAGTGGCCCAAAACAGTAAACTTTCCCACCTTTGCTCTGGTTTTTGCTACCTGCTGGGGAAGCAAGAACATTAAGGGGGAGACCTATCTGGCTCCAAAAAAGGTAAAGGTTCCCCTTGACATTTTTAGTCCAGTCTTCTTCGACTCTAGGGGGTGGTGCTTATCCCGTTTTCAAGCTGTAGAGCCAGCGTTTGTCCGAAGACAGTTTCCGTTGTCACGTGGCCAGCGTGACTAGGGAACACCGTTTTACCTTCCCACCGAGATGGTACCTATTTATCTACTCACATTTACATGCTTTTGAACTGCTAGGTTGGCGAGGAGCTGGGACAAAGCGACGGGAGCTCGCTCCGTCACAGGGATTCGATCTTACGACTGCTGGTCTTCTGCCCCTGCAGCATAGAGGCATCTGCGGTTTAGCCCACAGTCCCTGGCTCTACTCACAGCTAAATACAGCAGTTGCTATGCTTTCCTCTTACCCTCTGCTTTTTCCCATTTGCAAAGTATGCTTTCCTCTTACCCTCTGCTTTTTCCCTTTTGCAAAGTGTCTGTAAGATGGTGATCCTGCACCACAATGGTCTTTCATTTCCCATATAATTTTCTGCTGTAAAGTCTTAAAGTTACATTGTTGTTTTTACTGTAAGCCGCCTAGAGTGGTCTAATATGATCAGATAGGCGGGATAGAAATAAATAAATAAATAAATAAATAATAAATAAATAAAATGGTGATCCTGCACCAGAATGGTCTTTCATTTCCCATATAACTACAGGCACCATCTCCAGCTCAAAACATCAGCTCAGAATATTTCAGGCACTCTTTTATGTAATAATAATACAGTAGGATCATGGTATCTGGAAGGGATCGGTTCCAAGCCTCCCCCCACCCCCAATGTTGGAAAATGCAGAAGTAGCAAATACTATATATACACTGCGTGGTCCATGGCTCTTGCTAGTGGCACGTTCTGGCAAATACACCTTGTAAATACATATAAAAATATATTTCTGGGGTTTTTTATTTAGTATTTTCAGGCATCAAATAAGTGAATCAGTGGATAGTGATCCCATAGATGGGGGGTGGGCAGGTCCTACTGTATTAGCATACAGAAAAATCATGTCAGGAATGGAGCTATGCTGGAGTACATATCCCTGATATGACAACTTTCTATACAGAAAGACTAGTTTTGTGGACCAGTGCTTGGTCATTTAAGCCCCTATCAGCAGCTTAAAGAGATGCAAACATAAGTTTACAGTGCAAACTAGATTATATGATGTGCCTACAATCAGCCACTTTTTCTAAAGGATAGAACTTTTTCCCTCTCTCTTGTTCCTGCTTTAAAAAGTATTACTGTCTATTTTTCCAAATCAAGAAAAGTTGATTAATAAAAACCACTTGAAGAAGAAGAAAAAGGATTGTCGTCATTCCATTGCCCTTCAATGCACCACTAACTCTAAAGCAAACGATGAAGACACATTTTTGGTCATGAAATAATTTCAGTCCTGCTCTTGATTATAAAGCACTGGCATTTTCCCCTCTGTTCTGCCTTCCCAAGTAGGTCAAGTAGACCTTCAAAACGTAAGGAAACCAGCCAAGTGAAACCATAGTCTCGTCTCAGGAAAAAAGAGAAGGAGGGGGATCCCTTCATTTAGTATTCCTATAGATCTGCATATTCCAGATAGATTCATGCTGAATTCAACCACCACAATATGGCAACTGTGGGAAAATGATATGTAGCCACAAGGTAAAGCAGAAGGGCTGCGCCTCACTCAAGGATTATCCAGTCCCCTTCTCAGTATCTCCACGTTCAATTAAAAAAAATTCAAAAGCAACATGACATCTCTAACCTTTCTACTTAAAGAGACCCAAGTAAAATCCTTCAAGCAACGTTTTATCCATTTATTCAAAAGACCCAGGGGAAAGGGGGAAAAAAAAAAACACACACACACACAATATTACTCTGTTCTTCAGTGTCCCAGCCAGTGCATGGAAAATCAATGGGTTACCAATTAGCATTTCAGCACTCCTACATCCAATAAATTAAAGTACACCTTGAACATATTAGAGGACTTTGATTTAAATTTCTGCTTGTCTTGCAATCATTTATTGTGGTTCGGTCTACAAATTTCTAGTTACGGGGCAGAAGGAACTGGTTAGAAGAGGCTTTCATGTGGCCGCAGTTTCCACCTGGCCAGACCCTCTCATGCACACAGCAGGAGTTGCCAAGAGTTAAAACGAATGAACTCAAACAGATAGTGCAAGATACCGGGTGAGTGGAAAGGGACCGACAGCTTGGTTCAACAGATTGACAAGACCCTCTTCAAAGAACAAGTCATCTGACTGGCTGTGAAAACTCAAAGAGGGAGGAAGGTCTACAGCTGGCCACGCACGTCACCCTGTTTTCGCATTCAGAACATGTGGACCGTACCTCAGGTGTGGAGGCTCTTGTAGGGGGGCCATTTGCTTCACTGTCACTAGAGGTGCTCTCACTCTCGGAGTCGGAAGAACTGTCTGAGTCACTTGTGCTTCCAGACTCCGGGCTGCTGGAATGGGCCAATGCCAGGCTCTCAGGCTGCGACTGTGGGGCACTGCAAGCCAACACCATGAGATAAAATTAGAAACGGGCAAGGATCGTCTTTCCGTGCTCCCACCCCTCCTCCTGACACAGCACCGCTAGGGAAAAACAATTCGGCCAGCATCGTTTCAAACGGTCCCCCATTGTTCACTAGAATCCAACTCACATCATGGCAAAAACAATGAAAATTTAGGACTGCGCACAAGCACATATTATATAAATAAGACAGAAAAGAAAGAATGCACAACAACAGACTCAGTGGCCTTCATAAACAATTGGGAGACAGACTGCTGTGTGATATACTTGCCAACAATGCAGATGAGATGAAATATGCTTAATCTAAAGGTCAAATGATACTATTTTCCCAAGAAAAGGACAGTTATGTCCCAAATCTATGCAACTTGGACTTTTTATAAGTATATGTTTAATATATTATTTTTTAAAATAATATATTCATTTTTTAAATTCTGATTTTTGTCCTTGTTTTTTGCATATTGTAACAGGACACTGCAAGCAACATGCAAGCACAAGGTCTCTAACACATTAGATCTGTCCGCAAAAAATACACTGTGTGAACATTTCTGCTCAGAACTAAGTCCCTTTGCTGACCTGGCTGTTCCCTCCATGGCAAAATATGTCTGAAATATTTCCAGGTACGTGGGAGGAAAAAGAAAGCTATAAGATTACTATTGGTCAACTATGTAAAATTTTCCACAAATGAGTCTGTATTTAGAAACATTTGTTATATATACCCTGAAGGATGCTTGTCTGATGCTGTTTAAAGCAGCAGAAACACAGCAACATTTACCATACTCTGCAAGGATTCTTAGTAAACAGCAAGCAGGGATTACTTATTTTCCCTTTGCAGTCAAAGAGGTTATAAGTTAAACATTTACAGCTTAAAAATTTGCACAGCTTTCCTTGACTGAGTTCAAGGAACTTACAGATGAGTGCTCATTGGACTGCAGCTCCCATCTGTTCCCTCCCTCTCAAAGTGTTACAAGGTCCTCTGTTTTCCTAACAGGCCCTGCCTGTGTCTATACTTGAGTGTCCCAAGTTTCTAAAAACATGGAACTAAGCAAGTTGAATGATCTAAGGCAACACGGAAAACTCGACCCCGGAATTACAGCCTTATATTGCATGTGTGATTTGTACTGAGAAGTGCGTAAGGCTGCCAGACGGAAAACTCGACCCCGGAATTACAGCCTCATATTGCCAATTTTTCTCTGTCAAGACTCTAGTGCCTTAAACACTTGCACAACAGGTAGAAAATCAATAGGTGAGTCTTTCCCAGGAAGATGGAGACATCGATAGAGAAAGGTTCGCATGCTCCATTTCATACAGCTGTTTAAAGAAACAAGGATCTGGCCAGAAAGAAGGTGATAGAGTTAGGACGTAGAACAGATGCCAAAGCGAGATCTTTTAAGTTGGGAATCAGCCTTGAGGATGTCTGCTCCTTCCTTGCCATCTCCCCCTTCCTTCTGTAGCTTTTATTGTTATTTGCCATTATATGTGCATTAATGGAAAACATGAATTCTCCCTAAACTAAAGGATGGACGTTGGAATCCTACTTCCGAGTGGTTTTGGAAAATACGGTTAGGACAGGCTCTGTGTTGAGCGCTCCAACACTAGAGACATTCAAGAGAAACGTAAGACAATCACCTGGCAGATGTCCTATGATTTGTATTCCTGCCTTGAGTAAGGGGTTGGACTTGATGGCCTTATAAGCCCCTTCCAACTCAATTATTCTATTATTCTGTTTTGCATTAATCATAATTCACTGTAACTACATGTAATGCAAATCTATGGTTAAGGAAAACAAGGAACAAGGTGGTAAAAGCCAAGCTGGAGAAAGGAAGGAGAAACAATGGATCTTAATTCTCAAATGATCATTCAGTCTGTCTGTAAAACATTTACACCACTCCTGAAAATAGGATGAATACTTCTGTATAAAGAGTGATGGTGGGACACCCTTGCAAATTCATCCCCTACTCTCCATATCATTACTCAAGTTTAGGAAACCAAAGAATCTTGGTTATAAATTTATCTTTGTAATTGAAGTTCTGAGGACAAACATCCAGTGCAACGATTCCCAAGTTTTGCCAATGTCAGCTATCATGAAATCAGCCTTCCGAGCTATCAGCATAATGTTCAGCACTTTCATGTCTTCTTAAGACCCATTTTGAACAGTGCAACGATTCCCAAGTTTTGCCAATGCCAGCTATCATGAAATCAGCCTTCCAAGCTATCACATAATGTTCAGCACTTTCATAATGTCTTCTTAAGACCCATTTTGAGACACTTCCACATAAAAATTCTGTTTATATACATTAAACGCGAACATTATATCTCCCCCACTCCCTTTGTCTATTATCCTTGTTCTCTTTTGCCAAAGAAACTGTACCTTGGAGGTGTGGAGGAAGAAGATGGCTTATCAGAAACCGCCCAACATGCAAAAACAAAAAAAGAAGAAGAAAGATTAGTTTAAACCATCTCATTAGGAAAACAGACAATAGAGATTTTAAAAGGTGTTCTGTACATTTATAGAACTTATGATTTTATATACACACACTGACTTGGTCATCATCACCATCTTCACTATCACTGAGTTGAAGATCTTCATGCAACGTCCTGAAAGGAAAAAGATTGTCACTGCAGGTCAACACTTGAAATTGGAGTAAACGTTTGCTGGAAATGACAGTGTTATTTGAATGTAATGTTCCCAATTTTCCTGCCAATATTCTGAATTTCATTTCCAAAGTTTAAATCTATCTACATTCAACATATTGCTCGGTTTGGAAATCATTCTGTCCTCGGCTGAACGCCTTATTTGCACTCAAGATTGTCTGTGCTCAATATTTTTCTTGGAAAATGGTCTGCACTTAACACAGGCTCCATTTCTGCATGATAAAATGGCCGAGCTCAATTACTTGTCTATAAAACAAGGGGGTTTCACATTCTCTTTGTCTTTCCCCACAAAGCTAATGTCAAGGGTGTTGCTGGGGACTTAAAAGACATGAGGTCTTGTCCAACAAAACAAGAAGCTGCATAGTATTTAGAGATGCTGATATATATCAACATATGGAAACTTTAAAGCAGTTACAACTAAAGCCACTATACTATTTGCCTACATTTCACAGAAAGCAAAGCCTGCTGATTAATTTCCCTCCAAAATCATCTCAAACAAAACAACCAGTAGTTTCTCTTCAATCGCTATTTATTTGAAATAATGTGCAAATCAACAGAGAGAGTGGCTGGCAATTAAAAAAAAAAGCAAGGCTCATTCTGTTGTAAATAGGCACACAGCTACAACTGGCATACTTTGCACCAAAATAAAGTCTCAACTATTTAACAAGTCTCTTACCTGATGGCAACTGCATGGAGTAACTGTAACTAATTTCCCCAATTACCATCCAGATCCTGCAATTGCCTTTCAATTAAATATTCCATTCATCAGTCACCCTTACCTTCATAAACTTAATTCAAAGCAAAATAAATATGAGCACAACTGTTATGGGTAGGGGTGGGTCCACCCGGGTGGGAGCAAGGAGAGCTCAAGGAGAGTGACCAGGAAGAAAATTAAGGAAGAGAGTAGAGAGGGGAAGAAAGAAGGGAAAGACAGGTTTGAATGTGAAGTCAGAAGGCACTGGAAGTCACCTGCCCGGTTATTCAAAGCCAGGATCTACTTAAAAGCTAGCAGTGAAAGGGAGGGCATTTTCATGAGTGCTAATGTCTGTTGCCAGCCTGGGTTTAGTAAAACCCATTAAATCAAGAAGAACAGACATAAATGATGAGTGAAAACAAATCAGAAATTATGAGTGAAAACCAATTGTTTTTTAAGGATACAGAGCTTGCTGTTCTGATAACAAGATGAAAAATCAATTCTGCACAGTTCGAATTGTGTTATGAGTTTAATGGTAATATACAGTATATACAATAGGTTAGAGCCACTCAATTCCTTTTATTTTCTAAAGGGACTGAGATCCAGCGGAGGCTCTTGTGCAGAAAGGGTGAAGACAGTTTCTTCCTCCATGCAACCCTCAAAAGCATTGTCCAGCCTTGTTGCATTGCAGTATTTCACTCATGTGAACTCAGGATCCAAGCCCATCCCACTATTATTCTTGTTTCACTGCCTATTTTAAATTTAGGATAGTTTAGCCTCACACTTAAAGAATTCTGTTTTAGCAAGAAGAATCATAACCCAGCAATTCAGTTATCACCACCTTCCTAAGCACAAAGACATCTACTAAATTTAAAACCAGTTTCTTCCAAACTACTCTTAGTGAAATTATACAAATCTAAATGTCATAAACCAAATCCAAATCTTCATCCTAATCAGAGTAAGCCCACTGAATCAACAGAATTTACACCAGTTATTTCTCAAAATCCTACTGTAGTCTAACAACTGCAAAAAAACCCTCAGCAACACAAGCTGCATTATTAGCATGTTAACACAAGAACAATTAAATGTCGTCGCATTCGATGTTTTACCTTTTATTCTGATACTATAAAAATAAATATTCTTTACTTCCAACAATTACCCTTTTTGTGCTCAAGTGAGTTTCTAGTGGCAAATATTTGTTTTTCCATTTACATCACAGATTTCACCCAGAAAGTACATCCAGCAGCTTCTCAAAACACTGACGCATGATCACTTTGCTGGGGAGGGGGAGAATCCTGGCAGCAAGCTTGATACCAAACAAACAATAGTCTCAAAAGGAGGAAGTAATGGATAACCATACCCAAATGAAACCACAGGAAGAAGAGAATTCTTAGCCAGATAATATTGAAGTGTTTGCTACATGCCAAATGGCACTCATAGATGAGCTAGTATCATCCACAATTTATCTCTGTGTGCACATATAAGCTGTACACACAAAAGGGGAGACGGGGAAAGAGGTCTGCAGATAAAGAAGCAACCCCGTTTCTGGACAGCACCTTTTCTGACCTCAGGCTAATGCAACTAGTTGCTCATCCAAACAAAATAAAATCTCTTTATATGAAAAAAAAAAAAAACCAAAGCAGCTAGGACAGTGGTTCCCAATCTGGAGTCCCCAAATGTTCTTGGATTTCCAGAAGTCTTAACCACTAGCTGTGCTAGCCAGGATTTCTGGGAGTTGTAGTCCAAGAACATCTGGGGATCAAGGCTGGGAACCACTCATCCAGGGAAAAGTTTATACAGTAGTCTTCAAACCAACCATTTGGTATACAAAGAGAGTGATGTGCAATGAAAAATGCTATAAAAACTAAAATGATGCTTTTTTGTTATTTTATCAAATCAAAATCACACGTGACAGCTTTCAGGACAATTAGTTCCACATCCTTCTCTAAATCATGATCTTGATTTCTCTTAATACCCTGTTTCCCTGAAAATAAGACCTAACCTGAAAATAAGCCCTAGTAGGATTTTTCAGAATGCTCGTAATATAAGCCCTACCCCAAAAATAAGCCCTAGTTAAGTGAAACCCTGCTCTCCACCATTGTGCAGCAACCAGAAGATGACATGACTGTATCTGAATAAATGTAATTGTTGTACATGAAAAAAAAAATCCCCTGAAAATAAGCCCTACTGTGTTTTTTGGAACAAAAATTAATACAAGACCCTGTCTTATTTTTGGGGAAACACTGTAGTGTGGATGTCCTTTGTTCCAAATACACAGAGCTAATTTTTGGGTGGTCCCATTTGGCTTCAAAAGTAGAAGGCACTTGGACACCCAAGTTAAAGAGAACATGTGGAATCTGGAACAAAAATGACATGAGAACCTCTTTTGTCCAAGATTCTAGCCGGACCATTCTCCTCCCCTTTCTTAGTTTTCTATTCCCTGCTGCCAAAGAGCAGTTTGCACTACATGCACACTGAACACACTCAGTCCTCACTGGGGGAAAAATGGATTGAGGGAAAATTCTGGGGTGATTGGCATTGACTTGTACATCATCGAGTCTTATGGAAAATAATATGAATTTGACCATCCCAATCCTGGAGCATCTTCCATATTACAGGTATTTGTCAAGGTAAGGCAGGCAACTGGTTCATCTGATTTAGTACTGTTTCCAGTGATGAGTGGCACTTATCAAGGATTCTGGACAGGAGACTTTTCTGGGTTTATTTGGAGATGCCAGGGATTGAACTTGGGATATGAGCTATAACATCTCCCCATTTAAGACTATTTTACCTCCACGGCTGCAGTAAAATTTGAATCCCAAGCTTTGTCTCTTAACTATTATGCTGCAGTAAGTTGTTTCACTGATAGGAATCTTTGCCAAAAATCTCGCTGTGGCCCCTTGATTCCACTACAACACAGGCAAAAAAATTCTGTGGCACTTGAAAATTATCAAGTAGTGTTGCTAGCTGTGTAATCAGTCCCTTGTTAAGCCACAGATATTGTCAATGTAAACACATCATAATGAAGTTTGGTCCTTCCGTATTTGTGGTATACAATGGATCCTATTATGTAAAGGAAAGCAATCTATCAAGGGATTATATCAGCATAACCACAAAGCCCAGAGGGGCAATCTGACATATATTTACCAAGGGCTAATAATAAGATTTCAACATGAATGTCTCTTCTCTTCTGTAGTGCTGGTTCAAACCAACTTAAGCAACAGCAAACAATCAGTTACCAAAAAGATAAAACACAAGCATTCACAGCATTTTTGGAGGCCAACTATGAAACGCCAAAAGTAAGCTAATGAATATTAGTTTTCTATGTGTAATGACCATTCCTTCATTTGAGTGTGTTCCTATGGTGTTTCAGAGCAGTGCTAAAGAAAATAAAAACATTTCCTATGCTAGATTTGCAAAAGGTAAAGGTTCCCCTTGACAATTTTTGTCCAGTCGTGTTCGACTCTAGGGGGCGGTGCTCATCCCCGTTTCCAAGCCATAGAGCCAGCGTTTGTCCGAAGACAATCTTCCGTGGTCACATGGCCAGTGCGACTTAGACATGGAACGCTGTTACCTTCCCACCGAGGGCAGTCCCTATTTATCTACTTGCATTTGTATGCTTTCAAACCGCTAGGCTGGCGGGAGCTGGGACAAGCAACGGGCATTCACTCCGTCATGTGGATTTGATCTTACGACTGCTGGTCTTCTGACCCTGCAGCACAGGCTTCTGCGGTTTAGCCCGCAGCGCCACCACGTCCCACTCAGATTCGCAAACCAGGGGTCAAAAATGATGCCATGTCCATAAAATTCACTAGTGACATTTTAAGATTAGACAATGCATGGTTACGAATGCTGAAAATACTTGCACACTGGATGATTATTTTGTACATTAATGTTCGACTTTTCATCTGTTAGGCTCACAGAAGAGCCTTTGCCTGCTTGCAGGAGGACAGCAAAGATGAGGCCAGCCTAGTCTCCTGTAGAAGGGAATTCCAGAGTCTGGGAGCTGCAAGAGAGAAGCCTCTCTCTCATGTCCCCACCAAACACACCTATGAAGGTGGTGGGACTGAGAGAAAGGCCTCCTCTGATGATGGCTCGCTAGTGAGCTATAGGGAGGATGGGGACGTTAGTGCTATTTTTAAAAAGAACAAGGTAATCTGGGCCCTGGGAGGCCATAAATCGCCCACCTCAGTTTTGGACTTCATGACCAAAGTTACACAAAAGCATAAGTGCCGCCTAATCCATGATA